AGCTGCGATGTTATGGCACTCTACCCAGAGCAACTGAGTGAGACTTTGTCTCAAAAAAAAAAGGAGGGGGAAGGTGCCTGTGGCTCAAGGGCGCCGGCCCCATATACCAGAGGTGGCAGGTTCAAACCCGGCCCTGGCCAAAAACTGGAATTAAAAAAAAGGAAGGAAGGAAGAAAAGAAAAAAGAAAGAAAGAAAATAATTTAATCATCTTTAAAGTTTTTCATGGCACACTAGCTGAAAAATCACTGTTATAGAGGGAAGGAAGCAGCCACCACACTGTGTGAGCCCTTAAGCAGAAGGGAGACCTAGAAAGGCCTTCTCCTGGTTTGGCTCTGCTTTATAATCTGGGTTCTCCAAGTTATACAACTCCTATGTCAGCTAATTGCCTTGCTCTTATTTGTAATTCTAAATGTCTCAAGTTTCAGTGGGTCAGCATCATGAAATTATTCCCACTGTATAGAAAGAGGAACGTAACCTGCACAGAGCCCTTCCTGGAGACCCAAGCTTATTAACTTCCTCCTTAGGCATTATTGTATATTATCTTTCCCAATTCTCTGTGAGCTTGCTCCAAGAAGCTCCCATACCTTAGAGATAGCTGTTACTTAGCACCTTCCCAACTTTATACTACCTTAGTCCTTATTGCGGGAGTCTGATGCACAGGGTCCATGCTTTCCTGGAGTTCCCAGTATACCATTCCAGGACCACTATGGCCCAACCTTTCTACAGTTAGAAAGGTTCTTATGAAGCTCTCCTTCCGGGTCATCAAGCTTGAGTCCAGGCCAGGGCCTGTCTGTCTGAGTCACAGCATTCCACTTGCACCCCTCACCCCCACCAGAGGCTTCTGCAGCTTTTTACTCATACAAACAAAAATAAATCTCACTACCGGCCTCTGAACTCCACAGCAGTATGCTTCCCTCTTCTCCCCAAGTGTCCCATGGCTATGAGAGGGGACTTGGCACTCTCCCCACCAACATCACTTTTTCACTCCCTGCGCATCCTGTGTCCTTCTCTCACCGTGCGACCCAGAGATTGGAATGGGACGTGACGGCCGGCACAGGCGCCGTGCACAGCTGCCAGGAATCTGACGGGTAAAATCTGGAAAAGTTGGGAGGGCAAATGCTAAGTATGCGTGCTCACACACACACACACACACACACAGCGCCACTCAGAAAGGGCCGGAAATGCAGACACCCATAGAAGAGTGCCTGTGGACTCCCAAGCCCTCTTCCATCTGCCGTTCTCTTCAAAAGGACTGAACCAGTCTTGTGACCCAGGTGTGACCCCTAGAGGCCCACTGGTACCCCAGGAGAAGAGGGAGCAGCCTCATATTTAATCTCCTGAGACTCCTGTGAGGGTATGTGGGGAACAGGAAGCAGTTGCGTGGTGACTCACTAGGCAGAGCCAGGTTAAGGGAAGTTGTCTGTGGGCGTCCCTGGGACTGATAATGGCAGCATAGCTCTGACCACCCTCACATAGCTTGGTCCCACTCTACTCCCCCACCTTACCTTACCCCCAGAACCCAGCAAGGCTGCCACCTTCCTAAGAGGTTGTAGCCTCTTCACCTTTCTGGCCGTAACCCAGAGCTCCAAGAAGCCAGGAAAGTCAGGGCTAGGTTTTTCTTCTGTCCTGCCATCAGAACACAGGTAGGCTCAGCTTATTTCTCGGCCCCCCAACTCTACTGCCACCAGGCAAATTGGCTTAAAGGCCTTACTGCCAGCCATAGAAGTAGGATGATAACAGGGTCTTAGCAGCTAATTAATCACACAGGGTAAAAAAGGTACCCCGTTCCATTACTATGATAGAGTCAAACCAGGGCTGGAGTGTCATTTCTCAAGGCAGGAAAATAGATGTAAGATGAGTTTCAGTGGTGCAGTGGCAGAAATGCAGTGATCAGTTAGGACCCTGAGTCCCTATTACTACAACAGTCTCCCTAACACCCAAAGCCAGATGTCAGTGCTTGTTCTGTTCTCCTCACCCAGAAAGACAGATTTGGGAGCTTAAGGTACCCAAAAAGCATGCAGAAGAGCTAGATGGAGAACACAGGCCTAGAAAAATGAGCAACAAGAATGCTGATGCTCCCTCTGCAAGAGGAAAAAGGGCAGAGAGGTGTTCACTGCACCTTAGCAGGGACCATTTCTAGTTTTTACAAAATGCCCAAGCCACATTTGGTAGAATGTATGTTAGCTTATAGAGGGCAAATGCTAAGTATGCGTGCTCACACACACACACACACACACACACACAGCGCCACTCAGAAAGGGCCGGAAATGCAGACACCCATAGAAGAGTGCCTGTGGACTCCCAAGCCCTCTTCCATCAGCCTTCTGGAGAGGAACAGTGACCCACATCTCCTGGGAAGGAGATCAGCAGCAGCAGTTCTTTCCCCTCCTGGGGTAACAGCAATAGGAAGACTTGAGACAAGGCCTCCCAGCTGCATTTCTCATGCCTGCCGGTATCCTGTGGCCTGTGCCTTCCACCAGCTGTGGTGGCAGTGGCAGCAACAGCTTACTCATAGGGAGAGGTCCCTGGCAGGTCACAGAGAAGCCACCCCCATCATTTGAAGGCATGCCCTTTCAGTTTTACTGTCACTGTCAGTGAAACCTGAGCATCCTCCTCCCTGACTGTTGGTGGCCAGGGCCCGGCACTGTGGGCCCCATCTCAGTTGGCACGCATATCTACTCCTTCTGCATCTGTGTTCCTGCAAGTTGCTGTGTGGCAGAAGGCCCTGAGAGGGTGTGGCTGGGATGGGACCTGCTTTCCTGGTCCCTCCCAGGTTTGTGTTGGTGCCCCCTGCCTCCCTACACAGGGAACACACGTCTGGACAGATGCCAGCAGATCAGTTTGCTTTTTGGCCATGGTCCCCAGAAAAGGAAGCAGCGCAATAATGACCGGGTTCTGTAGTAACTGACATGCCCAGAGCCTAACCTGAAGGGCCACTGCTGCTCTTGTAAAACTGTCAGACAAGAAAATTGGGCTTGTAGGCTCGGCGCCTATAGCTCAAGCAGCTAAGGCGCCAGCCAGATACACCAGAGCTGGCAGGTTCAAATCTAGCCCAGGCCCGCCAAACAACAATGACAACTATAACCAAAACATAGCCAGGCATTGTGGTGGGTGCCTGTAGTGGAGGGCCTGTGGAGGCTAAGGCAAGAGAATTGCTTACGCCCAAGAGTTTGAGGTTGCTGTGAGCAGTGACGCCACAGCACTCTACCCAGGGTGACAGCTCGAGACACTTGTCTCAAAAAAGAAAAGAAAAGAAAATTTGGCTTGTGTAGATGTGCATGGAGCTTCCTTGAAAGGTTTGAGAGTCAGTGAGACAGATAAGCACTGGGCCACATGTTTCCTGAGAGGTGACAAGTGTCCATAGATAATTGGAGCTATAGGAAAAGATTATTAAATGATGCAGAGGAGGCACTTCAACTTTTTATTGTGGCATTTTAGCTTGTCCTGCTAAACAGATGACTAGGCTGTCAAATCCTCAATATCATGGCTGTTGGGGTTTTTTTGTTTTTGAGACAGAGTCTCACTATGTCACTCTTGGGAGAGTGCTGTGGCATCACAGCTCACAGCAACCTCCAGCTCTTGGGCTTTAGGCTGTTCTCATGGCTCAGCCTCCCAAGTAGCTGGGACTACAGGCACCCGCCACAACACCTGACTATTTTGTTGTTGTTGTTGTTTAGCAGGCCCAGGCCAGGTTTGAACCCTGCAGCCCCAGTGCTTCTGGTTGGTGCCCTAACCACTGAGCTATGGGCACCAAGCCCGTGAATGGGATCTTAATACCTCATACCACATGGATTCCTGCTACTGCAGGAAATTGGGAGATTGTATTTCGCATTAATTATTAGTTGTCATTATCACTTTTTTTCTATAGCCTTTGAGTTAAACATCATTTTTTTTTTTTGGTTTGGGTTTTTTTTTTGTTTTGTTTTTGCTTTTGTGTTGTTTTGCTTTTTGGGACAGAGTCTTGCTCTGTCACCCCAGATGAAGTGCAGTGGTGTCATCTAGTTCGCTGTAACCTCAAACTCCTGGACCCAACCAGTCCTCCTGGCTCAGCTTCCCAAGTACCTGGGAGTACAGGTGTGCACCATGGTGTCCTAATTTTTCTTTTTTGTTTTTGAGACAGGGTCTTACTTTGTCACCTTCAGTAGAGTACCGTGGTGTCATAGCTCACATCAACCTCCAACTCTTGGACTCAAGCAGTTCTCTTGCCTCAGCCTCCAAGTAGCTGGGACTACAGGTGCCCACCACAATGCCTGGCTATTTTTAGAACTGGGGTCTCACTCTGGCTCAGGCTGTTCCCGAACCCATGAACTCAAGTAGTCCACCCACTTTAGCCTCCCAGAGTGCTAGGATTATAGGCATGAGCCACTGTGCCTGGCCCTTTTTTTTTTTTTTTTTTTTTTGAGTAGACATGGGGTCTCATTCTTGCTCAGGCTAGTCTTGAACTCCTGAGCTCAAGCAGGCCTCCCACCTTGGCCTTTCAGAGTGCTAGGATTAATGGGCATGAGCTACACCACACCTGGCCAAACTTCACTGTTTTTTATATTGTTTCAGCTACACAGTGAAATGTATTGAATAATAAATTCTGTTGTAGATAGTCACAAGTGTTTAGAGTGAGAGTCCCTTTCTACTTGGTGCCTAGATAATATACATGAAACCACTTTCATATCCAAGGAATCTAACTGTCCCTCATTGATTCTGAGCAGAAGATCTTATTTTCAGAGACATGCAATTTTCAATACTATCAGAGTCCTTTCTTAGTCCTAGGCAGAGTTTTAGCCACACCTTATTCCACGGGCCATTTGGCCTCTGTTGATTTTGATTGCAGTGCTGTACTCAGTCCTTGGGTCTGTCACTTATTCCTGACGGGCTGGCTATTCCCCTGGTGAGGGGAACGGTCCATTAGGGCAGGATGCTGACACACTATCGAGTCAGGGCCCTGGCTCACCCACCTGCTTGCCTGCTCACTGTCTGGCTCACTCACCATTCTGTGTCCCTGTAGGCTGTTCTGGAGGACCAGAGCCAGATGAGGCAGATGGAGCTTGAGATCAGACCCCTGTTCCTTGTACCAGACACCAACGGCTTCATTGACCACCTGGCCAGTCTGACACGGCTGCTGGAGAGCAGGAAGTACATCCTGGTGGTGCCCCTTATCGGTGAGTCAGGCGGGAAGGGTAAGGCAGCCCTGCACGTGTACAGCAGCCCCCTACATACACACTCCATGGCCCAGAGGCCAGGGAGACAGGGCCTTGCTGTGTGTGTGTAAGACAGGATTTGCAGGGAAATAGGGAATGCGTGGGACAAGGAAAATTGTTTGATAATCAAAGCAGTTCAAATTATTATGGCTGATCCATGGCTTAAACTGCTTGAGCAAATGGACTTCTGTGTCTCAGCAACCAAAGGCTGCATGAACCCAGCCCTTGTTTTTATCCTTATAAAGCTTTCAGTAAAACAGCAAAGCTGGTTCCCGTTATTGGTAAACACTCAGCCCTGGCAGATAACGGCAGTGCTGCTGGGTGGTCTGGCAGGGAGGCTGGGAGGATTTTGAAGTGGTTAGATGCCTTTGGGCTGATTGTCTTGTAGCTTTTCATGATCATTCTGTTGGTTCGAGGTAGCATTCTTCTGGCCAATGTCACCCTAAGGCGAGGCCAATGGGAACCCTCCAGAGCAAGCTCTTGGCTCATGTGTGTAGATTCCTACCACTTGGGCCTTTACCACTGTCTGGTCATTGTTGCTGGTGCAGGGTCAGCATCTCAGGACCCAACTAGCTTGCTTTTCCACCCTTTGGCCAGAGGAGCCCAGCTGGACTATCTCCACTGTACTGTCTTCTGGGTATCCTTAGTTCTTAGAATACTCTGTGGTGGGTCAGCCTCAGTGTGGGCTTTGCACTCTGGGCTTCTTTCTAATGTAGCTGATCTAGCTGATGGCTCTGCTGTGGAGGGAGAGGATCTGGAAGATGATTGAGCAGTCCAGGCTTTTTTATGTCCCCAAGTTTGAGAGCCCTGTCCTCTGGAAAAGCCACCAGACTGGCAGTCTGCCTACCAAGCCACCTTTGACATGCATGCCAAGATGTTCCATTGGGCCTTCCCTCCCAGTCCCAAGTGTCTTAGTGCCAAACGGGGGTGGAAACAAAGGGCAGGAAACATCCGCCCCTGCAGAGGCTGCAGAACCCTGGGGGGTTGTGGGAAACACGTTAGCACCACCTGAGAATGTTGGCACTGAAGCAGCCCTCCTCCCCGCCTCCACCCTCCCTGTCTTCCTTCCCCCTCCCCATGTGGCCTGGCCAGAACCTCTTAAATCCAGCCCTTTAGATGGAAGGGAAGGTTTTATGTTCTTCAAAAGTAGAGCAACTTCTGTCACCAAGGCAAAGCAGTAAAGACCATTATGTTGTCCCCTGCTCCCATGCTTCCCTCATCAGGTTCTGGGGTAGAATGCCTTTCAGGATCATATGTGTCAATGCATTCTTACCCAGGAGGTTTTTGGGGGAAAGAAAGTGAATTGGCTACATTTTTGCTAGATGGTCAGAAAATGGTATAACTGAGAGAGGTTGCTGACATCTCAGGAGCCCCCTCAGACTTGGAAAATGCCTCACACATCACCCCAGGCTAGCAGGGTTCTTAGTCACTAGCATTGATTATGCCCCTATTATGTTCAGTCTTCTTGCTCTTGAGAGATCCAATGAAACGCAGAGCTGTGGCCCTTGGTCCTGAGGAGCTTATGGTTTAGTAAAGACACCCAGATTTGGTGGGGAGGCAGGAAAAACGTGAGAACCCAGAGGACATATGGAGGGTTCTAGGAACTGACAACTCGGTTGCAGCCTCACAGGCCAGCCTCCTTGAGTCTGCCCTGGCTTGGCAGGTTCCTGGACTCTCTCAGGAGCTGCAAGAGCGGCTCCTATCCACTGATGCTTTCCTTAGTAGACTCCTGCCCTGTGCCCAGAGCAGCAAAGAGTTAAGCCAACAGCCTTCCCCACTTCTTTCTTGTGCTCTTTAACCTGCTCTGTGCTCCTTAGGCCTGACCCCAGCATTGAGAAGCCCCGCCTGGTGCAGAAGCACAAACAGGCTTCCCCTTTGAAGCCTGTTTAGTTTGGAAGCAGGAAAGCAGATTTGGGGATAGAATACCAGTTTTTCCTGTTTGATGTTCTATTTGCTGGACCATGCACCCATTCACCACTATTCCCTATCCTTGGCTCCACCATTATTCCCTATCCTTGGCTGTACATTATGTGGACACTGCAGCCTCAGGTTGCTGAATGCATGGGCATCTCATGGGTGTGTGTGTGTGGTGGGAGTTGTTCCCACATGGGCTCTTTCCAGAAATGTCTCTGAATACCCAGACAATGAGTGCCAGGCTCACCATGGAACAGCATGCTCATGCCGACTCCCCAAGCCATGAATCATTGTACTAAGGAGAGGCCTCAGACCCCAAACTCCCTGGAGCCCCCAAGGAGTGCATATTTCCCACTTGACCTCAGGCTTTTGGCTGGAATTTTGGAAAGAATCTTCACCAGAAAATGAAGCCGTGTCCCAGACACATAGGCAGGCAGACAGGCACATACACACACTGACATACACACACACACACACACACTTAGTATCAGAGAAGGTAGATGTGCCAAGGGTATGGTTTTGAGGAATACCAAGGCCCTTACAAATGAAGCTGTGACTGCCCCTTACTCTGTAGTGACCTTCCTGCACTGTACTGGAGAGAGAGTAGAATAGAACTTTGCCCCTCTAGGACCACTGTAGTTGGGGCCCCAAGTAGATGCAAAATAAGTGCCTCACTTTCCCTTTAGCTGCTGCATACCCTTGCCTCTTCTGAGGGACCTTCTCAATTTGATCCTATAACTAAGGAATGCAGTGGAGGTGGCTAGGCTAGATTTCTTCCTCTGAATGCAGCAGCTCCATAAAACTCCTTTGAGTTCCTCTCAGGAGGAGGGTAGAGCCCAGGAGAAGAGGTGGAAAGGGATAGGGCACTGTGAAAGTCTTGTCCCTACACACTTCTTGCTCCCACAAGCTCCCCTCCTGTCCTAGTTTCACTGGAAGGGGAAACTGTGGAGAAGGATGGATTATTTGGTCTGGGAAGGGGCTAGTTGGGAAAGTGAGTAGAGGCCTAGGATGAAGGTAGATGTAATTCCTGGTTGCTGAGGCTGATATCTTGTGGGGCTCTGTCTCATCAGTGATCAATGAGTTGGATGGCCTGGCCAAGGGGCAGGAGACAGACCATCGAGCTGGAGGCTATGCTCGCGTGGTACAAGAAAAGGCCCGCAAGTCCATCGAGTTCCTCGAGCGGCGATTCGAGAGTCGGGACTCTTGCCTACGGGCCCTGACCAGCCGTGGCAACGAACTTGAATCTATCGCCTTCCGCAGTGAGGATATCACTGGCCAGCTGGTGAGACTTCTGGCAGGAAAGGAAAGCCTGCAGCCAGCCTTCAGAACAGGGTCTCTAGGAAGGAGGTGCTAAAATGAAGGTCTGTCAGCCTAGGCCACTGAGGGAGCACTCACCATCAAGACCCAGGAGGAGGGGGAGTTCCTTATCCTCCAGATCACTCTTAGCACAGTCAGACCAGGCCAGTCAGGGCCAGAGCACATATGGGAGGGACTCTGGGATATGGTCCTTTCCTGGACCCCAGAGGCAGAGTATATCTCTGTCTCCTCCACATGGCGCCCCCTCCTGCCCAGTGGCCCTTCTCACACTTGTTTTCCTCCAGGGTAACAATGATGACCTGATCCTCTCCTGCTGCCTTCACTACTGCAAAGACAAGGCTAAGGACTTCATGCCCACCAGCAAAGGTACAGCTTTGCCTCTGCCTGAGGATCATCCATCCCCCCTGCCCTACCTTATCCTACTTATCCTCAGCCCCTGAGAAAGGTCTCTCTGCTGACTTTGGCCTACAGAATCAGAGGAATCAGAGTTCAGGGCCGATGTAGGCCTGAGGTCAGCCCAATTTCCTGCACTCCCTATCATAGCTCCCTTACCCTCAGGGAATGTCAGCTAGACCCTGGGCCAACTAGGGATAAGCCTAGCCCAGGAAGCCTGGCTCCAGGCAGTGAGCTTTCCCACTCTGTGCATCTATTTCCTTTCTTGGGTCCTCAGTGAGTTCCCCCTGACAGAAAGAATGTCTTTATGATTCAGTGTAGCTCATTCTGGCCATAGTCTTCTGAGCCCAGCCCTGTGGGTCCCTGGGGCGCACTCCCTTTTCTTGGCCATGTGCACCTTGCTACCTTTTCAGTTCTCCCCTGAATGTTTACTCTATATCAGGCCTGGGCAGAGACACTTCCCCAGTGAGTAGTAGGCTTTTTTTCCTAGTTTCTTTGGTCACGAGCAGTAGCCCTTTGTAAGCTGACTAGAGTTGAAAGCAGGTGAGAGCTTGAGGACTGAACCCTCAACCGAGTTTTCAGGACCTGTTTTTGGTGAGCAGAATCCCATCTTTGGGCCAAGGGCTCCCACTGGGGTTGTCTTCCAAGTGCTTGACCACCTCACCCTCAAGCTCTGAGGGTATCCTTCATGTACAGGGTTAGTAATGCTCAGGGGCTTTCTGCTCCTGGTTCCTAAGATTCCTACATGCCTTCTTTTGGAAGGAATTCTTAGGGCCTTCTAGCTTAGTGTCATCTGCAGAGCTTACAGTTCTCACCATTGGGTTCCTGTCTACATATATGTAGTCTCTTGTTTTTATTCTCTCCTTATGGTCCCTCTCTCCTCTCCATTTGTGTTCCTAGCCCTGACTTTCAGGCTCCACTGGGAATTGTCTTCTCCTGCTACACCTCCTCACCCTGCTAGTGCAAGCCCCTGTCTCTTTCATGAGTCTCTGTACCAGGGACTATAACAGATCCACAACCTCTGTTCCTCAGAGGGCTTGCATTTATTCTCTCTTAGGGCTACAATTAGAGAATTCAACTCAGGGGTCCTCAAACTTTTTAAACAGGGGGCTAGTTCACTGTACCTCAGACCATTGGAGGGCCGGACTGGGGGCCCCGGGACAAGTTGGCTGCTAAGCAGGACAGGCAGTGGTGGCAAAAACACCCGGCGGGCCAGATAAGGTCCTAGGCGGGCTGCATGTGGCCCATGGGCCGTAGTTTGAGGACGCCTGATTCAAGTGATAAAAAGGAGTCCTGGCCAAACCAACAGAGGAGCTTGTGCTCTGTCCCTGGGCAGCTTCCTAGAAGGGGGTATCTTCTGATGGAGATGTAAGCAGGATTGCCGAAGGCCTTATAGAGAAATGTGGTTCCGATACTGTTGTGCTCCACTCCAGCCTCAAAACTGTTTCTTTCTTAACACAGACACATTCTGGCTTTGGCCCTACTAGTCCTCCCACACCCTAAACAGCCTTCAGGAACCTATTGCCATCCTAGGGACCGCCCCTATCAGAATTACATCAGCAACGGCTGGTGTAATCAAACCCCATTTGTCAGTGTGAATTCTTAGCAGATTAACTTGTCAGATTCACAGAGAAACCATCACCAAATGTTTATGTGTAAACGATGTTGAATTTTAAAATCATGTGGATTATGGCGGATGAGGCCTGACAAGATGACAGTCTCTGGTTTCTAACAAAGTGAAGTTACCAGTGTCAAAACAGAGGATGTTTATTGTTAAAAATGTCTCAAAGTATCCACAGAAACCCCTGCAGACCCCTGCCAGCAATGCCGGGCCTTGGTTGCCTGACCTAAGACTCGAGACTCTCCTGGTCTGAGGCCCAGGGCAGGAATGGTGGGGCTGTACACAGACACAATAGCCAGCTGGGAGGCCTCCACAGCATCGCACACAGCACACTAGCCCATACTCACACTGCAGAGGAGCCCAGCCCAGGCAGTTGAAGGGTCTCTAAGCCATCCCCTTACCCAGGGCCACCTTCCTGTCCCTCTCTGCCCACCACAGCCCCTTGCCTCTATATCATACTTTCCTTTCTTCTCTGTTCTCTCCCTACCACGTACCTCTCTCTCTTCCCCCAAACTCCTCCCCAGGCTGAAAGCCAGTTCCCAGCCTCCCTGCCTGGAGCTGGCAAGTCTGAAACTGCTCAGGTCAGACATGGATATTTGTAGTCCCTCAGCCACACCAGCCCACTCAGTCAGTGAGCACCACAGGACATTTCCTGTGCTGTACTGTCTGCCGGACCTCTGTCAGGAAATGCCCAGCCTGGGACTAAGGAGTGGACCTGCCACCCAAGCAGGCATGCCAGGGGTGGGGGTTGTCACTATGTGAGTGCTTAGCTCCTGTTTAAATTCTCTCCAACACGTTAAAGGTTAGGGAATTAGGGAAAGAGAGGTAGTGAAGAGATTATACTTAAGAAAATGAAAGATACCTGTGCCAATACAGAAAGCTCTTTCAAGTACATAACATCTGAATAAAGTATGGCTAGTATGATCACAGTGTTTGAGTGGGGAAAAGCTTAGATATACAAGTATGTGTACTTGGAAATGTGTGTATAAAGAAACCTGGAAGGACACACAGTCCACCCCTGGGGTACAAGACAGAGAGCTGGGAGCATAATCCTGACTTTCCTTTTCCTTTTTTTTTTTTTTTAAGAGACAGAGTCTCACTTTCTAGCCCTCAGTAGAGTGCTGTGGCATAATAGCTCACAGCAACCTCTAGCTCCTGGGCTTAGGCGATTCTCCTGCCTCAGCCTCCCGAGCAGCTGGGACTACAGGCGCCTGCCACAACACCCAGCTATTTTTTTGTTGCAGTTTGGCCGGGGCGGGGTTTGAACGTACCACCCTTGGTGTATGGGACCGGCGCCCTACTCACTGAGCCACAGGTGCCACCCTCTACTTTTTCTTTTTACTCTACTGTTAGACATTTTCACCATATATGTGGATTACTTTTATTTTTATAGAGGAAATCATTTGGCTGTAGACTTAGAGCCCGCTTGGTGGGGTTCTGCCAAGGATCCTATCCTGCCTCTCCTCAGAGTTCCTTCTCCCCCCATCTGGGAGCCCTGGATATGTTTTATATTCCCTCTTCAGTTCTCTACCCCTAAATGCCTAAAGCATCAACCTGCTAGCTTTTGGAGGGAGAAGATGTGCAATTGTGCAAAAAGAGGGTATTGTGATCAAGGGCCAGCTGTGCAGTAAGAAGTAGAAGGCAAAAGGTTGCTTTTGCTCCCTCAATTCCAAGTCCTAGGAGATAGATGTGTGAAGGCCAGTGGGTTTGGGCAACTCTCAGTCACAAGACAGAATACAGTCCTGTGCAAGAGGTGAGGTTCAAAGCAGAAGCCCAACTTGGCCTTTTCTAAGCCAATAGGGGAGGGGCACCATAGGCTGAGAACCTGGATGAAGGAAGGGACTTGTTTCTGGAAAGGCCAAGGAATGACTGGCCTTGACACCCCCACCCCCAGGACCACATTCCCCTTGGGGTAGAAGAGGCAGCCAGTGCCTCTGCATCCTGCCCTCAGTGAAGGCCTTTGCTCTCTCATGCCAACAGAGGAGCCAATCCGGCTACTGCGGGAGGTGGTGCTGTTGACTGATGACCGGAACCTGCGTGTGAAAGCACTGACAAGGAACGTGCCTGTGCGGGACATCCCAGCCTTCCTCACATGGGCCCAGGTGGGCTGAGGGGGCCACACCAGGGCCCACCCCCATGGAACCGTTCCTGAAAGGCCACGAGGCGCCCAGTGTAGCACGGAAGATGCCCACGTGCCTGAGCCACCAATCCACCCAGACAATAAACCATCCTCTTCCAATCCACGCCGTGGCCATGCTGTGGGGGAGCTGCTCCTCACAGAGCCCCTCCCAAGGGTCGGGCGGAAGCTGCTGGGACCCTCCTGGGCTGCCAGGATTTAGTAGGGAGGTGGCTGGCTACAGCAACAGCAGGTGGGCAAGCCAGATAGGCTGCCCAAGCTCTCAGCCTCTCTCCCTCCCCTTGTCTCATTTCAAGGCTGAGGGAGGGCCTCCTCACCCTGGGACTCAGCCATTCTCTGACAGAGATGGCAGGCGTTTTAGAGTTTCCATCAGATGCAGGCGAATCTTAGGTTCCTTTAATCTTCAGAACCTCTGTCCTGAATGTGTTTAAGGAGTTTCAGTTATGTCACGAAGAAGTTGTCCAGGGTGTGTCTCTATCTCCCTGAGGCCTAGATTTGAATTCCCCTGGACCTAAGTTGGGTTTTGGGTTCCATGTTCCTAACAGCAGCCCTAGACCCCCACCTTCTCTATCCCCAACCTTATACATACCCCTATCCTCTGCTCTTCTTTTCTGCCCTTATCAGTCTGGGTCTCTTGCACTTTACCACTTGTTTTCCCCCTGAACAGTAGAGAAAGGGACATCTGGTCTCAGGCCCCATACATCCTGGGTGGCCTTCGCCTGCAATCTTTCCCCTCATTGGCCTTCCTTTCATTCTAGTTCCCTCTTCAGGAAGTTTCCTCAGACTCTTAGTTCCCCTCTTCTTGTCCTCCCTCCTTCCAGAACACCTCCTTACCCTCCTTCCCTTTCTATTGGATCCCTTTCACCTCCTGATGCCCTCAACTTCCTCACCTCAGTTCTGTCTTAGGGGTTCTCACTCTGAATCTTCGTCTCCTCCTACCTGTGGCAGAAGCCTAGTAAAGCTTTCCCACCCATATCCTTCTATGCCAGGCCCCTGTGCTCTTGAGAAACTTCCCAGGCTTACATAGCCCAGACCGTAATGCAGTTCAATGCCAGGGTGTAACATTGCCTAGCCTGGAGTTTTTGTCATTTCTGCCTTTCCCTTGACTTCCCAGAAGAACTGATGCAGGGGCCCTTTAGCATTTGAGTGTTTTGTTGTCCTTTTAGCTGGTACCCATGTTCAGAACCTCAGCAGGAAAGCGTCCTGCTGGAAATGAGTTCCTCCAACCCAGGGGCAGGGATAAGGACTAGGGAAAGACAGGGTTTTAGGTGGAGCCACAGGTGAATCTTGGTGGGACCAGTGGGGAAACACCCCCAAGAACCTACAGCCTGCCCAGAGGATGGGAGCACTGCTCTGGCCACCCTGAGAGACAGGACTATGACAGAAGGAGGGGAGACTATGCATGAGAGCCAAGGCCAATAGTTTTGGGGTCATGAGTCCCCCAGACCCTCAGAAGACTGAGCTGGGGTATAGGGTCCCTGCCTCTCCTTTGAGATCCCCTGACAAAACTGATGACTGGGTGGGTGGGAGGGACACATCTCTCCTTTCTGTCCCATTTGCAGCACTGGTTTTGTTTCCTTAATAAATTTTTAGTTTTGAAACATACCTGACCTCTTGCCGATCTGTTTGTGGGACTGGGGAGGTCCAAGGTCCAAGCCCCTGCACCTGGGTGAGGGTGGCCCTTTCTGGCTCCTTAACCCACCATGTTCAGCCCATCCAGGTCCTTGTGCAAGGGCAGAAGAGAGTGGCAGGGTCAGGGTCCTTGGTTACTGATTTATTGCTGTTTGGTTGAGTATAGAAAATGGAAGCGGCTCTGGAAGAGCCTGTGTACAAGGTAGGAACTATACAAACGAAGAGGAGGGAGCTAAAGAGACGGCGTTCCAGCCCAGCCCCGTCTGGGCTCGGGATGGGGGGCTGCCCGGGGCGCATGCAATAAATATGGTCCGGTGCCCCAGGGAAGGGAGGGGGACACCTCGGGAGTGGGAGGCCTGGTAGGCCAGAGCTGTCTTAGCCCTCTGACTCCAGAACTCCCACCCCTGGTGGTCGAGGAGGGAAGAGTTGGCCCTGGGGCTAGTGCCACTTGTGCAAAATGAGGAACTTCACATTATCAGTCCCGGGGGCGGGTGGGAGTGGGGCGGGGCCCTCCGGCCGGCTCAGTCCCCTCCCCACTCCCTAGCTCGGCCCGGCGCTCCGACCCCAGCAGGGGGATTCACAGTGAGAATGGGTGTGGTCGCAAGGGCCGGAGGTAGGGCTCAGAGTGCCCCAACAGTGACACCCCTCCCCCTAAGAGCAGCACGGAGCTGGGGGAGGGGGCCAATGAACCACAGAAAGAGGCGGGAGAGGCCGGGGGTCTCCTTTGGTCAATGCTGATATCAAAAATATAAATCTCCCTTCCCCCATCCCACCCCCGTCCCGGGGTTTTCCCCCACCCCCGGGCTAAGGCACAAAGCAGTGAGGCCAGGTGAGGCCGCAGAGAGGTGGGGCAGCCACTGAGGAGTCGCTGCCGCTGCTACTACAGTTGTCCCGGGCGGGCGCGGTGTGCCTGCTCCCTGCCCCTGCCGCTGCCTAGGGGTGCGGGCCAGGCCCACAGAAGCGACAGGTCAGGCTGCCAAGAGGCGCTCTAGGTGGGAGAGAAACGGTCGATGGTCCTGCCGTCGGGTCCGGTGGCCAGGTGAGCGCCCTGGCTCAGCACCTCGGCGGCCTTGTCCGGGCTGAGACCCAGCTCCGCGGTGAATTTGGCCAGCGGGTAGAGGCTCTCGAGCGCCACCTTGGGGTCGTGCAGGAAGTGCGTGGTCTGCGCCAGCAGCTCGGCAGCAGCCGCCTTGTCCTGCTGCTTCAGGCTCAGTTGCTCAGCCGTGAGGCGGGCCACAGCAAAGACGCCCTCAGGGAAGTCGAGCTTTCCCTTACCATCGGGGCCAGGAACGCCAGGTAGCCCTCCTAGGCCTGCCAGCGCCCCGGCCGCTCCGGCCGCGCCACCGACGGCGTGCATCTTCATGTGGCTGATGAGGTTGCGTTGCTGTGCGAACTTGCCACCACACACCTGGCACTCGTAGGGCTTCTCGCCAGAGTGGATGCGCATGTGCTCCGTAAGGCGGTACTGGCGCGTGAAGCGCATACCGCACGCGTCGCATGCGAAGGGCTTGAGGCCCAGGTGGCTGCGCATGTGGCGTGTCATGGTGCCACGCTGTGTGAACTTCTTCCCGCAGATGGTACATGGATAGGGCCGGGTCAGCCAATGAGTCTTCTCGTGCTGCCGCAGCGTGGCCGGGTCCTTATAGCTCTTGTCGCATGACGCGCATCGGTATGGCCTCAGCAGCTCTCCCAGGCCACCTGGAGCCCCAGCGACCTTGTCCCCACCACCGCCAAAAGGGGGCCCTAGGCCGGCGGCGCCAGCAGCCACTTCGGCCGCCTCAGCCCTGCCATACAGCGCTTCCTCCTCCTCCACGTGAGCCTCCACGTGCGCATTCAGCTGCTCTGAGCTGGGGAAGCCTTTGCCGCAAGGGATGCACACGTACAGGTTGTCACCGAAGCTCTCAGGCTCGCCATATGCCAGGTGCGGGCATGGGTAACCTTCGAGGTGGCCGCCAGGCGGGCTGGGATCCTCACTGCTGCCAGTCTCCTCGCTGCTGCTCTTGTAGTCATCGCCGTCGCCGCCCGTGACGGGCACGTCTAGGCTGCCTTGATAGCGTGGAGGTGGTGCTAGGCCGAGCGAAGGAACCCCAGGCGAGGCGGCCGCGTCCCCACCACGCTCCTCCAAGCGCTCGCTGGGGGAGCCGCGCTCCCGGACCAGCTCGTCACCATAGCTACCCAGACCCGGCTCGTGCTTCATCCAGCGGTAGAGGAGGCTGGGCCCGTCGGGGCGGCCGGGGGGCTCGGGTCCCGGGCTGCCACCGCCACCACGGAATGGGTCCGGAGGCGGTGCGGCCTCCTCCAGCTTCTGGAAGGGCAGTGGAGGCAGCGGCGGCAAGGCGAGTGGTGGCTCTTTGTAGGCGGTGGGGCCGGTGCTGGGAGGGCTGTCTGGACGCAGGGGCAGCTCGCGCTCACCCAGGGGCCGCTCAGGAGCCGCAGAGCCTGGTGGGCTCTTCTTGGACAGGTCCAGGCCACAGAGAGGGGAGCAGCGGCGCTCTGGGGCACAGAGTGCGGCAGCTGGGCCGGGGCCTGAGGCGTACAGCTCCGCACAGTGCGTGTTGACTGCGGCCTCTGGGCCCGATGGCGGTTCCGCAGCAGGCGGTGGTGGAGGTCCTGCTGGGGAAGAGTAACAGGCCTGGATAACGGGCGTGGCGGCCCTTAGGCCCCTGCCCGGCCGCCCGTAGGGGGCATCGCCGCCACCGCCGCCCCGCAGGTGGCAGTACTTGCCATGGCGCTTGAGACGCTTCTTGCACAGCGCCACGAGGTCAGGGATCTGCAGGTAACTGGCAGCGGCCAGCACGGCGCCCAGGCTTGGCTCGGCCCCCGGGGCCACGGATGCCGCCGCTGCTGCCTCTGCTCCGTCAGCCAGGCGGCCGGTGTAGATAAAGTCCAGCACCAGGCGGAACACGGCCGGGCTCACCATGTCATGGTCCAGGTTGAGCAGGTTGTCATGCACCACCAGGGACTTGAGGTAGGCGCTGCTGGCCGCCAGCACGTTCTTGTGCGCGCGGAAGAGGGCGTTCTGCACTACGATGATCACGTCGCATAAGAAGCCCTTGGTACGCTGGTTGTTGAGCTGCAGCAGCAGCTGCCTCGAGTGGCCGGGCGCCTCCATCGTGTCCAGCATCGTCTGCCCAGCACACTCTCCTGCGGGGACACACACCAGCTGGGTAAGAGTCGTGCAGCACCCTGGCCGCCTGGACTCAGCCCGGCGCGTCTCCCCTCCACTTCCCCTTCCCCTCAGCTGAGCAGGGGCATGGAGCACTGCGGCCTGGGCACTGGCTAAAGATCGGCAACCTCCGAGAGTGGGAGCCTAGGCCCACTGGCCCGAAGCAGAAGGAGCAAGAGAAGAACGGCGCCGCTGGAGAGGAGGCCAGGCTGGCCTGAGTCCCCAGGCCCCGACGCCCACTGGGCACACGGGCTGGGTGCTGGGGGCTTCCGAGGAGAACACTGTTCTGACGAAGTGACCCTTTCGGAGACAGTTACCCGATTTAAGTAAAATGTCCGCTTCAGGAAAAGTCATTCAGGGCGGAGAAATTTGCCCAAGTAGGGAGAAAGGGAGCCGAGTAAGAACTGCCTCCCGCCTCGGGAGAAGTTGCCCCAGTTGGGGGAAGTGATACGAAGGAGGGGGAACCCGGTGCCCGCCGTGGCGCCGCCCTGGCCGGGGGCTGTCAAGCCCTCGGTTAGGGCCCGGGCGGCAGCTGCCGGGCGGGCAGAGGAGGCAGCGGCTGCCTTGGCGGGCAGAGCGCGAAGGCCGGGCCCGGCGCGGGGAGGGCGTTATATCGGGGCAGGAGGCTGAGGCAGGAAGCAGGTGGGGGGGAGGGGGGAGCCACGCAGCTCCCAGGGGAGGGAGGGGGCAGCGCCCCGGGCGGGCACAGAGCGCTGCCGGCTGCGGCCCTAACCCGGGCCTGCGCCCCACCCGCATCTCGGCCCCGGCCTCGGCCTCGGCCTCGGCTCTACATTCACGGACCTGGCGCCTCCCTCCCCTGCTCCCCTCAGCCCCTGCTCCCCTGGAACTACGCCGTCCCAAACTTGGGGAAAAGTTTTCCAACTTCAGACAGGGCGGTAGGAGCGCCAGCCGCAGCCCCCCGGCTCCCAGCCTTTCTTCACAGCCCCCAATTCCGGTGGCCAAGCGGAGCCCTGAGCTCCCCTGCCCGCCTGTTCGCCCGTCCGACCCCGTTCTCCGCCTGGCCCGCAGGGCCTCGCGGCCCGTTACCTGTGGCCAAAGCCGACCGGTTTCCCTCCCCGAGGCCGGCGGTGGCAGCTCCTAGCTGGCGCCCCACCCGCTTGCTGCCAGGCTCCAAGCTGTGCCAGGGCAGCGCCCCTGCCAGCCGCACCCGCCAGCTCCCCTTCCCTTCCCCTTGCTTCTCCAGCCCATGTGCGGACAGAGCCGCCCGGGTCCGCTGACCCCGCTGTGAACCCGGCGCAGAGCAGCGGCCCGGCGGTCCTGAGTCCTGTAAGGGCGACACCGGGAGCCGTGAACGCCAGCCGCGATGAGGCGCCCGCGCCGGAGGATGCGCCAGAGGCAGCCAACGCACGAGGACCGGGCTGTCCCGGGCCCCCTGTCCGTCCCTCCCAGTCCCCAGCTCCAGGACCCACCTGGGGAGCATGTCGGAAGCCCCGGGCCCGGCTGCCGGCGGATCCAGGGGGGACGTGGCTGCGCTGCGCTGCCCTCCGCCCGCCGGGCCCCCGGTCGGTCTGTCCTGATGGTCCGTCCTCCCCGCGTCCTGGTCGCGTCTCAGCCCCACCGCGCTTTTAGCACACTCTTATCTGGAGTGGCCCGGGCCAGCAGTGCTGCTGCGGCTATGGCGCCACCTTTCGGATACCCAGGGCTCTGCGCGGCACAGCGGCGACTTTTACCCCTGCGCACCTGGGCTGGAGGCTCAC